GCAGGAGTCAGCCTTGTAGCTTAATAATTGTCTTTCATGTGCAAGCATGCAGATAAAGGGATTGTTTTCCTTATGGTTGATAGCTAAACGTGTTATATTCTCTAATAACACATCCCTCTACGTGCTCACACATAAATACACATATATGTATTATATCCATCTGCATATGCCCATTTTTGCTATTTTCCTTTTCTTTCCATAGACCCAGTTTCATTTTTTAAAGTAATCTGGGTTTTTTTTGATACATAGCTATCTAGACTGCTTCCATAAAACAAGGAAACTAGTTTGACTTTATGGATGCATTCACCAAATCAATGGTATTCAATTCTGACTGTGTATCAGACAGGGATTATTTTTCTTTCTTATATATGATTGTTCAGGACCTACTGTGAGAGTTTTGATGTGGGCCGAGGTTAGGACCCAAGAGCATCTATATTTTTCCAAACTTTACTTGATTCTGTTGGTCAGCCAGATCACACTTTGTTCGCTTCGTTACTACTGAATAGGAACACTAGATGGCGCTATCTAAAAACCTCCAAAGAGGTTTAAACTGTATCCCGAATATGCATGCGGTTGTAAATTTGGAATAAATTGCATGTTTATATTTTAATAATTATGATGAATAGGTAAGCTTACTAGAATTATAAAATAATGCACAATAGCAGATCTTGACAGGAACCAATCTTGACAGGAACCAGAAAGAATGGCCTAATGAATTTTTTAAGATGATGATATGTACTCCATTTTGAAAATGGAAGAAAAGGTATTTTTATTTTAAAGAAACTTTCCTTGATAAATTGTAACAGAAGCTGTTAATTTCCTCCTGTTTCACTTTTGATAACATCTAATTAGCTGATGTTAAATGGTTACTATTTATTGAGCCTTAGTCACTGTGCTGAACACCATCTAAACATGCCCTTGAACCTTTAGAAGAACCCTGCTATATATTGATTGTAGTATATTATTGTTCCTAGTTCAAAAATGGAGGGAACCAGCTCAGAGAGGTTGTTACTTGCCTATAGAACACAGTGCTAGCAAGAATAGGATATTGAGTTTGATTCCAAGTGTCCATGCCACAGCTCCTAACCTTATGTGGTATTTTTGAGCATCAATATTTCTGCTACTTTTCAGAAAAGTTAATAATTTAAGTAATATAAAAACATAGAAATGAGCAAATAGAAGTGCCATTCATTTATTTCTAAGGAAATAATTTCATTGAGAAACAGATATTTATTAAACCCCTACTATATGTCAGCCTCTGTAAGGCTGACAGAGGCTAAGTTACTTAGTTAGCCTAACTAACTTAGTGGGGGCTCCAGAAAGGCTTCCTAAGGGAAGTATAAACTCAGACCTGAAACATGGAATCAGAGCTTTCTTCCATCAAAAGTAGAAATAGGATTTGATTTTCATAGAAAACTATCAGCAAATCAGTAGCTTGAAAGGATAACTTTTGAAAAGGCAGTCTGAAGGAAATAAAACTGATTGCAAAAATTTTAAGTCATAATAGGAAAACATTTTAGGAATCAGATCAAATATAGAGCCTAGGAAAATATACCTTTTAACGTTACCCCTCGCCCAGTTAAAGATGGATTAAAACAAGTGACGATAAAAGGATAAAGGCACCCATGGCTTGGTAAGGAAGGGATAATTTAATTTTAGATTTTAAAAGTACAGTGTTACATCCAATTTGGAGTATTGGAAGGAGTATTAGGCAGAATTCTAAAGATGTTGCCCCCTCTCCCACCAAAATTCCTGTTCCCTGGTTATTTAATCAGACACTGAGTTCTACAGAATTTGCAGGTGAAGTTAAGGTTACTAATTAGCTGACCTTAAAATGTGGAGATTGTTGATGAGTGTTATACATACAGGCACAGTATAATCATATAAGCCCTTAGTAAAGAAGAAGGCAGAAGAGTCAGTCAGAGTAATGCAGATGAAAGAGGGCAAAAGAGAGATGCTGCAGAAGGGGAAGCCAGAGAGTCTAAGCATGAGGCGGATTTGAGCACCATTGCTGATTCTGAGATACAAGGGCCCAGATGCAAGAAATGGCAAGAGTGCCCTTTAGGAGCTAAAGGGGTCCCCCAGCTGACAGCAAAGGAATGGAGACCTTAGTCTTAAAACCGTAAGGAACTTGATTTTGCCAAATAACTTGAATGAACTTGGAGGCAGATTGTTCCCCAGAGTCTCTAATAAGGAATATAGTCCTACCAACACTTTGATTTTAAGCCTGGTGAGACCTGCCTTGGACTTCTGACCTTACAGAACTGTGAGATGATAAATGTGTGTTGATTTAAGTTGCTAAGTTTGTGGTAATTTGTGATGACAACAATGACTAATAAAGAGAACAAAATTCACCTTTATTCATATCCTCCCACACAGTATTATTTTATTTATTCTCTTCCAGGCCTTGATGATAAGCCCACTTCGCCTAATTATAAACATAATACACATATATTTTTGTATCCTGCTTTTTCTCTTAACTTGAGCATATATATTTCTCTATGTTGCTATGTAGTTTTCCCTAATCATTACTTTTCATAGCAGTATAATGTTCCTTTGAGTATATAGTATGTTATATTTAACCTGTTGGATTTTTGTGTCACTTCAAAATTTTTACCATCATAATACTATAGTGAGTGTTTCTGTGCATTTGACCATCTCATATTTGAAGTTACTGGAGTGGATTTTCAGGTGCATCATTACCAGTCAGAAGGTATGAGCCTTTTTATAACTCATTATATATTGGCAAGTCTTAAATGGCTTACCAATTTAAAATTCTTAAGCAAAGATAAGAGAATCATGTTCATCAAAATTGTTATCATCATTAGATAGCATTCTTTTTTAAATAATTTTTTTGTTAATGGGGGAAGATGCTTGGTGGAGAGTTTTAAATTTAGGGATAGTTTCCTAAATTACTCAAAGAATTAATGTATAAGCTACTATTGTAAGTATTTCGGGGGTATAAAGCTGAATAGTTTATAGTACCTGAAAACCAGTTATTATGATTAGTCGTGTACCAGTCATAAGAGATATGAAGTTCCTCACCTCAGAACCTGATTTTAAGTCAAAAACAGGTTCCGAGGTTTTGTTTGTTTGTTTGTTTTTTGCGGTACGCGGGCCTCTCACCGTTGTGGCCTCTCCCGTTGCGGAGCACAGGCTCCGGACGCGCAGGCTCAGTGGCCATGACTCACGGGCCCAGCCACTCCGCGGCATGTGGGATCCTCCCAGACCGGGGCACGAACCCGTGTCCCCTGCATCGGCAGGTGGACTCTCAACCACTGTGCCACCAGGGAAGCCCAACTTGGTTTTTTTTATTAGCAATGTATGTGCAGTCTGTTGGTACTACATTCCTACCTTCTATTTTTATCATGCTGATTTTATAATAGTTCTCAAAACCATAATTATTTTCTTATTGTGGGAATGACCATTTTCTTCATTTATATTTTTTAATTTCTTTTTTTTCCAGCTTTCTGGAGATAATATTGACATATATATATAAATTTAAGGTGTACAGCATGATTATTTGATACACATATATACTGTGAAATGATTACCACAATAAGGTTAGTTAACACCTCCATTCCCTTTACATAATTGCCTTTTTGTGTGTGTGGTGATAAAATTTAAGGTCTACTATTTAAGGTCTTAGCTTCCAAGTATACAGTACTGTATTGTTAACTATAATCACCATGCTGTACATAACATTAAATCCCCAGAACTTATTCATCTTATAGTTAGAAGTTTGTACCCTTTGGTCAACATCTCTGCTGCCAGCCCTGACAACTACTATTCTACTCTCTATTTCTATGAGTTCAGCTTTTTTAGATTACACATATAAGTAAGAACATACACTATATGTCTTTCTCTGATTTATTTCACTTAGCATAATGCCCCCAAGGCTCATTCATGTTGTTATAAAAGGCAGGATTTCCGTCTGTTTGACGGCTGAATAATATTCCCGTGTGTGTGTGTGTGTGTGTCTGTTTGTGTCTGTGTATGTGTAACACATATGACATTTTATCTGTATATAGCTCACATTTTCTCTATCCATTCATCCATCGTTGGACACTTAGGTCGTTTTCATGTCTTGGCTGTTGTGAATAATGCTGCAATGAACGTGGGAGTACAGATATCTCTTTCAGATAATGATGTCATTTTGGGGGGGATATATATACCCAGAAGTGAAATTGCTGGATCATGGTGGTTCTATTTTTAATATTTTGAGGAACCTCCATACTGTTTTCCATAGCGGCTGCAACGATTTACATTCCCAGCAGTAGTCACAAGAGTTCCCTTTTCATGGATGTAGATATTTTCCTTGTTAAGTTTCCAGTTATATTCCATTGACATCTTGAAAAATTTTAGGTAGGAAAAATATCAGTGTGAGTAAACATACTTTGAATAACTAGAGATTAAGTGCTAACTTACAGTGTTCTTTTGTACTTCAAAGTATTGGACTTAGGATGAAGGTCTAATACTAAAATACAAAGTACATATATTTTCTGTGACTGTAGAGCAGTTTATACCTTTACCTTGCTCCCCTGTAAAGAAGCCGTGAGTTAAAGTAAAAAGGCACTAGATGGGACATTAGGTTTCTAGATCCTTTTATGTCGCTAACCAGCTATTACCTTGAACATGTCACTTAACATCTGGGCTTCTGCTTTCTGTTCTGTAACATGAGGGATTGAATATGTTGATGACATGAAAATGGTCATTTAGGAAAAGTATGAAAGCATTTTGTACTCAGTGAGTTAGGCTTAAATTAAAGGTACCTGGTAGGAGGTCATTGTTTTGGTTTGGACTGGTTTGGAAATTAAATGAAGAAATTCCCATAAAGCTCCTAGAGCAGACATTCAGTGTTGCCTAGCAGGAAAATGGAGAAAGTGACAAAACTTTGGTACTAAAATACTCTGTTTCTGAGAGACTGTATAACTGAACTGCTTTGGAATCTGTACAAAAATAAGGTACACTTAAAATAAGTACATATTTTTATTTTCCAGGATCAAATCTAAATCGCTGTGGTTTCCGAGGCTCTTCATACCTGGGTATTCCATTCAATCCATCAAAGGTTAGTTCTCTTTGCATTAGGAGGAAGGAGGAGAGGGAGTGGAGAGATTTTAGTAAGAAAAAAAACTAAGAAAGTAACAGAAAGAACCAGGCCTCCAAGTTTCAGTGTAGCTAAATACTGTCTAATAAACTGTGTGTTACCAACTGGAACTTTTTAAGGGAAAGCTATACCCACCTTACTTCTGGAAGAATGCACAGTATATAAATGAACAGAAATTCCTGTTGTTAAAAAATTGTCTTTCTTACTATCGTGTGTGTGTGTGTGTGTAAAAATTATTGGTGATTTCTTGGAGAAAATGGAAATAAAACACTGAAGAACATGATACTTGTTCTCTAAGAAACCAATGAACCATGTGTTACAGAAGGACTTTATATTTGGTTCACATTTCTTAGGAATGAAAGAGAAAGCTCTTGCTAAGCAGTGATTGGAGACCCAAGTAGTGATGAGTTATGATGACCTTCCTGATGGTAGGCAGACTGTCTTCAGGGTTATAGGCGAGGCTTTGGTACCAGCACATGCAGGTATAGAAAGCAGTGAATCCTAACATATGAGAAGCTTTTTTTCTTCTTCAAAGAAGCAGACCCCAAACAAACTTTTGTAGGTGTTTCATCTGTGCATAAAATATTTTTCTACAATAGAAGGCAGAGCAAAACTTCATCATTTTGTGGAAAGAGACCTCACAAAATAGAAACTTTTTCCTTGATGGGGGTCAGTCTGCTTATATAATGGTTACAAGCCAATATCTGGCTACACTGAGTACATCAAGATTTATATCCCTTTCCAAGCTGAAGGTAAATGACATGTTTCCAATTTTTCCATACTCTGCTCCAAAATTTTGGAATAAATAGCAGTGATTTTGGAAAAGGTGACCTGATTTGATAGAGGCACTGCTTCAACTTTCTTCCTCTACCCTAAGCTGTAGACCAGCATGCCTGTGTTAAAGTCATATGACTTTGCTAAGGTGTCTCCAATCATGTATGCCAGTTGCTTTTAACAGAGAATCTAGAAACTAAGGATCCATAAAAATTGTCCTTTTTCCCCATACATATAATACTTTCCAACTTAAGCCAGTCCTGAATAGAGGTAGCTCTCCATTTAGTCATAATGGACAGGATATCTAAAAGTCATGACACTGATGATGACCATTATACAGCACCATACCCTATACAGATGTATGCTTACACTTGTTGGGGTAAAACAGTTCTTTGATAACATTACTTTTAAGAGACAGCCCCCTTACTCCCCTCACCCCCTTCCAAGGCATTTTCGAAACAAAAGGATAAAATGTAAGGAGAAAACATTTTTTGCCTTTGATTCAGAGTCTCCTGAAACCCATTTTGGGCCCTTAATTCATCGAGACCCTGGCATTTTCTGGGGAAGCTAGGTCCCACTCCATTCTGTGTTGCATTAATCTGAATCTTGAGTGCTAGAGGGAGCTAGAGACCCTAGGTGGAATCATATAGGGCCACAAGGAGTTGTCACTTAGGGTGGTGGCTGAGAATCCAGGAGACAGATGAAGCCAAGAGAATCTGAGGAGGCACATACGATTTTCTAATACAGTATGTAAATAGTTTCTTCGCTTTTTCTTCTGAAACCACCTATGGGCCATTCACTTACCTGAAAAATGTCCAGGACCTTTAGCGGCCATAGAACACTTTTTAAGAAACACTAATGGATCTTCTCAACCCCCTTTTCTCACTGTTTTCCTTCAACAAATCCCATATTCTCTATTAAATTATGTACTGTCCTTAACACATACTACATAGCCTGGAATCTTCCTTCTCTGCTTTCCTTTTACTTTTTCTTCTACCTGTAACGCCACCTCTTCATCTGTACCTAACCAAGCTCCTCTTCTGCTGCAGAAAACAATCCTTTATCCATATATATTATTGTATCTCCATCATGACACATACAGCATTCTACTTTGTACTGTACTCATTCAAGTAGCCCTCTTCTCCCTTCAAGGTTAAGGTCCACATTTGATTTCTGTTCAGATTCCCCACAGTGTTTTTAACATAGCAGATATTTAGTTTGAGTATCAAAAAATGAAATGTTACAGGATTTCTAAGAAGGCAATTATAAACGTGGAATAGGATATCCAGGAGTATTAAAGCTTGAGTTCTAAGGAAGAGCTCAGAATGAAAGAAATACCACAGTGAAAATTTGCTTGTCATATTTGTGAGACCATATAAGGAATTGTATATGTAAGGCTGGATAGGTGGGGTGAGTTCAGATTATAGAGGATATTGAACACCTTTGCAAACTTATTCTGTGAAGAACTACAGAAGGTCAGTGAGCAGCAAAGTATTCTGATTAAGTCACTAGTGATTTCAAGACCCTTGAGTCGTGACTCCAAAGAAGTAGTGGCCCTTTTGATATTTGCCTTGCACTTGCATCATCATCAGTAAGGTAACTAGCATCTGTATAGACAATAATTTTATTTAATCCTCACAGTAACCCTGTGAAATAGGTACTAATATCTCCATTTTCCAGAATGAGAAAATGCAGCAGTGAGTAGTAGAGCCTGGATTTGATACCTTACAGTAGTGTAGAAGTTAACATTTATTGTAGAAAGCAGAGGAGTCTGTTTTAACCAAAATCTTGGTACAAGCTTCATTTTAACTTTCTAATGTTATGCACAGTTATTCTAGTATTTGAAGCAACTATTGATGAGCCCAAACTAAAACAGAGGGAAATCCTGTGAGAAAGATGAATTTAAAATACACTCTTATTCTATCAAAATTAAAACTTTCTTAAACTGAGAAATAGTACAATGTGAAATTTTACATTTTTTAAGTGAAATCATCTTTTTAAAATAACCGAACAGGATTGGCTATTTGAAAATAATTATAAAACTTTAAATGCTTTGTGTATTGCAGAATGTAAAGTTACTTGGTTTTACATTTTTACTTTTACTTTAATAAGTTTTTAAATTAATTTTATCTATGCCAGTGCCAACTAGAGTATACAGGATTTCCTACAAGGAGTCACATATTTTATAAACCTTAAGAGATCTTTGATAATTGTTGATAGTTTTGTTGAAACAGTCAAATCAGTGAAACTAATCCAATAAATATTCTGGTTATATGAGTTTCCTAGTTTGACTGCCCAGCTCTGCCTGGGCAATTACTAGTCTAACAGTCTTCACAAAAGACTTTTTGCAGTCAATACTCATTTGGTAATTTAAACTTTAAAAGTTAGATTGTTTTATTTCTAGAGAATTTTTCAATATTAGTATCTTGAGCTCTTCTTTGCATTTTTTTGTCATTTGTTATTCTAAGTGTTAATATTATCAGAGACTCAAATAATTAAACCATATGAGAATAGAATAATGTTTTTCAACTGTATTGTTTTGTAGGATTTTTAAATGGTGATCACTACTGTGGTACTTAATTTGAATTTGTACAGCATAAAAAATAATTATTTCTACATGCTTTTCTAACTTTATAAGACTTAAATTATAAGTGATATGGTTGGTCAAATAGGAAGTTGAAATAATTTGGCTTATTTGAATATCAGATCTACTGATCTGTATGTTGAGACATACACGAAATTGAGTTTTGTTTGTCTCTATCAGATGTCTATGCAAATCAGTATAAACAACATTTAATTTTACTGTTTACTGAAACCTCTTATCAAATTGCATGATGAAATAAGATCTCATTTCAGTTTTCTAATTAACATATTAATTTTGAATCTAGAATCCTGGAACAGCTCATCCTTATGATAGTGGCCACATAGCAATGACCTACACTGGCCTTTCATGCTTAGTTATTCTTGGAGATGACCTAAGCCGAGTAAATAAAGAAGCTTGCTTAGCAGGCTTGAGAGCCCTTCAGCTAGAAGATGGAAGGTATGGGTCATTCTTTGTTAATTGTCTTTTTTTTTTTTTAAGAAAAATCATTTGTAATTAAAAATAGATATAATACTATACTAGAATTGTAGAGTTTATCATAAACTCTTATTAGAACCACCTAAAGTTCACTGTATACATACGGTTTAGGTGCCTAATCAGTGAAATATTTCTTACGTGAATGAAAATAAAAGTAATCACAATAACAATTCCATTCTTTCTTAGTTCCTTTCTCTTTTTTTTAAAGGTGATAATAGATCCATAAATAAATGGTTTAATAGTTTCAGGATTAGGATCTACTTTAATTTACATTCTAGGTAAAAAAAAATGGACATTTTGACGCAGACATACATTTAATCTAAACTTTTATGCCTTAAGACGTAGTGATGGGGGAAAGAGGGATGAACAGTGAATATTATTATATTCTAGTGTAGGTAGTTTCTGTGATATTATTAAAGGATAGAAAAAGTAGTGAGTTCATTAATATTTGATGGTTTGAGTGGTGTGTCTAACAAAAAAAAAGTTTTAAGGTGAAACATTTTTTTTAAGTTTAGGAAGTGTTAAAGCTGTAGTGATGCTATCTAAAGAAAAGGCTTTGCAAACAAATCCTGCCACATTGTTATATCTGTACTCCATCTACTACTGTGTCTTTTCCTGTCAGTATTTTAAAAACACTGCCTTTGATGAGGTGGAAATTAGTGGAAACATATAAGGTAAATTGACATTAATTGGAAATACTATAAAACTAAATATTTACCTCAGCAAGTGCATGTGACTAATTTCTCAATAATTCATTATAGTCTTTGGTCACTGCTATCTTATCCTTATTTATAAATAAAAGAATAGGGCTTTCCTGGTGGCACAGTGGTTAGGAACCCACCTGCCAACGCAGGGGACACGGGTTTGAGCCCTAGTCCGGGAGGATCCCACATGCCATGGAGCAGCTGGGCCTGTGCGCCATAACTACTGAGCCTGTGCTCTAGAGTCTGTGAGCTACCACTGCTGAGCCACGTGCCACAGCTACTGAAGCCTGCACACCTAGAGCCCGTGCTCCACAACGGGAGAGGCCACCGCAATGAGAAGCCCATGCACCACAACAAAGACCCAATGGAACCAAAAATAAATAAATTAAAAAATATATATATCATATAAATAAAAGAATAGATATGAAATACAAACTATTATGTACTTCCCTAAAACTAATTAAATATGTGAAAATTAAATTAAAACAATATGATCGGGGCTTCCCTGGTGGCGCAGTGGTTGAGAGTCCGCCTGCCAATGCAGGGGACGCTGGTTCGTGCCCGGGTCTGGGAGGATCCCACGGGTCGCGGAGCAGCTGGGCCCGTGAGCCATGGCCGCTGGGCCTGCGCGTCCGGAGCCTGTGCTCCGCAACGGGAGAGGCCACAATGGTGAGAAGCCTGCGTACCACAAAAAAAAAAAAAAACCCAATATGATCAGTTAATTAATGGTTATCTATATTTACATTGTGAAGAAATTTCACATAAGCAGAACTTGGGCTTGAGAATTTCTTACTACCCAGTAGATCCCTGCTACTTTTTCTGCTATTAATTCTCAAGCCACTGTACCATAGCTTTCCATGGCTGAGAGCAAAGAAACTTACTCTGAGTGGTGGCATCTGGGAAAGAGTAACTGTGGTAGTATGTTAAGCTACCCAGAAATTGAACTTGGGAGTACAGTGTTGATTTAGAGATAGTTTTATATTATTCAAATTAATAGTCCTTTATTGAATAATACAAGCAGTATATGGTTTTTAAATCTGTATTTAGTGATAGCTTTTTCTGTGAGTGAATACATGAAGTAGGTGTTTCTAACTAACCCCCCTACAAAAAAATAAATTATAGTACAGTAAATCATATAGTTATTATTTTCAGTTTTTGTGCAGTTCCTGAAGGCAGTGAAAATGACATGCGATTTGTATATTGTGCTTCCTGTATTTGCTATATGCTCAACAACTGGTCCGGCATGGATATGAAAAAAGCCATCAACTATATTAGAAGAAGTATGGTGAGTTATGTTGATAAATTGACTCTTTGTTTTAAGTTATTACTGCTGATATATGGGGGCTGGGGCATGCCTCATCTCTTCTAGCAATAATTTGGAAATAAGGATAATAAGATTGCTTTCTGGGTACATCATATATCAGAATAGCCATTTAAGAATAATATTCAAGGAAAGTTTGACTCTTTAGCCATTAAATTTTAAATGTAATCTGATTGTATCCAAAGAAACTGTCTTTAGCAGAAAGAGATTGGTCAGCCTTAGAAGCAAAAAATAGTAAAATCTCAAAGGTAAATGTTGATAACCTATCTTAGTAGGGATCATTGGGAAGTCACAGCCAAGCATAAAGGAGAATTACAGTGCCCTTGGTGAGATTATTCCTATATTGGTTGTGAGGTGTGAGTTCCTTAAGCTATTTTGACTAGCAAGATTGACTGGGCTGACAGTAGATTTTTGGATCACTTTTGGTTTCTTAATACTTTTATGTGGGTTTTTTTTTTTAAATCTAAGGTTTATTTTGAGAATATCAAGTAGAAATTTTATTCTTTCACACAATACAATTTAGTCTTTTTATCAACAATAGTAAGGAAAACTTAGTTTAGTCTCAGCCAGAACTATCCTTTGCTCTACTTTTTAGTCTCTCATATACAACCAGAGAAATAGAAGTGCTGCTTCCCAGGTCTATTTTACTTCCTAAATATGAAATTTTTATAGATTAGAATATTTTAGGCTGTTAATTCAACTTTTACTAGTCCATATTTCAGAACAAAAATGTAAGTTCTTAGATGAATGGAGTTATTTTTAATTGAATGTGTGAATGTGAATCAGATTTTATAGAATCTATAATAGCACAGGTTTTTAAAAGCCTGTGGAGGCAGAAAGACGAAACCTTTTAAAGGAGTTTTAACATCTTTATTGGAGTATAATTGCTTTACAATGGTGTGTTAGTTTCTGCTTTATAAAAGGAGTTTTTTTTTGTTTGTTTGTTTTTTTATTTATTTATGGCTGTGTTGGGTCTTCATTTCTGTGCATGGGCTTTCTCTAGTTGTGGCAAGTGGGGGTCACTCTTCATCGCGGTGCGCAGGCCTCTCACTATCGCGGCCTCTGTTGTTGCGGAGCACAGGCTCCAGACGCGCAGGCTCAGTAATTGGGGCTCACGGGCCCAGTTGCTCCATGGCATGTGGGATTTTCCCAGACCAGGGCTCGAACCTGTGTTGTCTGCATTGGCAGGCAGATTCTCAACCACTGCGCCACCAGGGAAGCCCCATAAAAGGAGTTTTAAGAGGAAAGGAGATTTATGGTATAGACAAAGGTGGGAGATATGCATTTTGGCATGAATATTGCAGAAATAACACCATGTTCTTCTCAGTGCATTGTATTTGGAGGTACAACATGTTGATTTGCTCTATTATTGGTGATGTTAACTTTAATCACTTGGTTAAGGTGGTGTATGCCAGATTTTCCTCTGTAAAGTTAGCATTTTTCCCTTTGTAATTATTTAGTAACTCATGGTGAGATACTTGGAGACTGTATAAATATCCTGTCCCTCATCAAGCTTTTATCCACTAGTGTTAGTATGCATTGATATTTTCCAGCTCTATCATTCGTTCTGTAATTATCAGTTAAAATTCTACAGTTATGAAAAGCTTTCCCTTCACCTTTATCTACTTACTTATTTATTTAATTTAAACAGGCACTCTAGATTCTTGTTTTACTCAATGGATTATTATCTGTAACTGTCATTATTTATTTTGATGCTGTGCCAGATTCAGCCAGCAAAAACCCCTTCACCCCTTCAGCCAGCAAAAACCCCTTGTGCCCTTTTGGTATGTCCCCTTAATTCTTTGAGCACCTCCTTGTCTTCTGGTACAAGATATTCCAGGTTCATAGTTTAATTTCCCAGCCTCAGTTCTGAAATTGGTCATTTCTTCAAGGAGTTCTAGTTCTTATTGGAGGGTGATGTTTAGAAACCACGATTTGGGCACAAAATGTGCTTATTGGTACTGGGATATCACTGCTTCTAGCCCCTCTCTCAGAGGTAGGAAATGTATATATGTATACACAGACATCCCCCTTACACACTTATACACATCTATATCTTTTTCTCTATCTATCAGTCAAAAACCATGAGTTCACACTAATACCTCAAATTTTAATCCAATACCACTAGGTTCATTTTAACCTTCCTCTTTTCATTTGTAACTCCCTTCTCAGACAGTGACAAACCTGTCTACTATTATCCAGAATGCATTGGTTCTTTTTGTTTAGAGCCTAAAGGTATATAGTCAAACTGTTATATTTAAGAAACACTTGAGTTACTTCTTTTATTCCCTCCACCCCCAACCTTTGGTTTGTTTATGTTAATTTATTTGAAATAAAGTTGTTTATTTGTTTCTGTTTGGATTCTATTTTAGGATTCCCCCCCAACTTTGTTGATTTTATTTCTTTAATATGTGAAATATTAACTCGGTTCTGAAAGTCATAACTATACAAAAAGTTATATTCAGAGATGTGTAACTCACAGGACTTCCTATTCCTTCTATTTCCACCCCCTTCCTAACTCCCATGTTTACCACCTTGTTCCCATTCACTCTGTAGGTAAACGTTCTCATTAGTTTTTGGTTAGGCCTCCCTGTACTTCCTTTTGATGAACAGATATGTACATTTTTATTTCTGCTTTCTTACTCAAAAGAGTACTTTTTTGCAGTTTGCTTTTTTCATTTAACAATATAGCTTGAAAACCACTCTATATCAGGTCATAGAAATTTTCCTCATTTCTTTTTTAACAGTTTTGTAGTACTCCATCATGTGTACATGTCATAGCTTTTTCCAACTCTTCTATATATAGACTACATATTTTCCAAATGCGAACAATGTTGAAATTCATACCTTCTACATGTGTGCTTATGTATTGTCGGGGATATAACTTCAAAATAAATTCCTAGCAGTGGAATTGCTTAATCAAAAAGTAAATGCATACGGGGGGATTGGTTCAAGGTGGCGGAGTAGAAGGACATGCACTCACTCCCTCTTGCGAGAGCACCAGAATCACAACTAACTGCTGAACAGTCATCGACAGGAAGACACTGGAACTCACCAAAAAAGATACCCCATGTCCAAAGACAAAGGAGAAACTGCAATGAGACAGTAGGAGGGGCGCAATCACAGTAAAATCAAATCCCATAACCGCTGGGTGGGTGTCTCACAAACTGGAAAACAATCACACCACAGAAGTCCACCCACTGGAGTGAAGGTTCTGAGCCCCACGTCAGACTTCCCAACATACGGGTCCAGCAACGGAAGGAGGAATTCACAGAGAATCAGACTTTGAAGGCTAGCGGAATTTGATGCCAGGACTTTGACAGGACTGGGGGTAACAGAGACTCCACTCTTGGAGTATACACACAAAGTAGTGTGTGCATCAGGACCCAGGGGGAAGGGGCAGTGACCCATGGGAGACTGAACCAGACCTACCTGCTAGTGTTGGAGGGTCTCCTGCAGAGGTGGGGGGAGGCTGTGGCTCGCCGTGGGGACAAGGACACTGGCAGCAGAAGTTCTGGGAAGTACTCCTTGGCATGAGCCCTCCCGGAGTCCAACCATTAGCCCCACCAAAGAGCCTGTAGGCTCCAGTGCTGGGTCACCTCAGGCCGAACAACCAACAGGGAGGGAACTCAGTCCCACCCATCAGCAGACAAGTGGGTTGAAGTTTTAACTGAGCTCTGCTCATCAGAGCAAAACCCACCTCTACCCACCACCAATCCCTCCCGTCAGGAAGCCTGCACAAGTCTCTTAGATAGCCTCGTCCACCACAGGGCAGACAGCAGAAGCAAGAACTACAGTCCTGCATCCTGCAGAACGAAAACCACATACACAGAAAGATAGACAAAATGAAAAGGCAGAGTACTGTGTACCAGATGAAGGAACAAGATAAGACCCCAGAAAAACAACTAAATGAAGTGGAGATAGGCAACCTTCCAGAAAAAGAATTCAGAATAATGAGAGTGAAGATGATCCAGGACCTCAGAAAAAGAATGGTGGCAAAGATTGAGAAGATGCAAGAAATGTTTAACAACAACCTAGAAGAATTAAAGAACAAACAAACAGAGATGAACAGTACAATAACTGAAATGAAAAATACACTAGAAGGAATCAATAGCAGAATAACTGAGGCAGAAGAACAGATAAGTGACCTGGAAGACGGAACGGTGTAATTCATTGCCATGGAACAGAATAAAGAAAAAGGAATGAAAATAAATGAAGACAGCCTAAGAGACCTCTGGAACAACATTAAATGCACCAACATTTGCATTATAGGGGTCCCAGAAGGAGAAGAGAGAGACAAAGGACCAAGAAAATATTTGAAGAGATTATAGTCTAGAACTTCCCTAAATTGGGAAAGGAAATAGCCACCCAAGTCCAGGAAGCGCAGAGAGTCCCAGGCAGGATAAACCCAAGGAGAAACATGCCGAGACACATAGTAATCAAATTGCCATAAATTAAAGACAAACAAAAACTATTAAAAGCAGCAAGGGAGAAACGACAAATAACATACAGGGGAACTCCCATAAGGTTATTAACAGCTTATTTCTCAGCAGAAACTCTACAAGCCAGAAGGGAGTGGCATGATATTTTAAAGTGATGAAAGGGAACAACCAACAATCAAGATTACTCTACCTGGCAACGATCTCATTCAGATTTGACGGAGAAATCAAAAGCTTTACAGACAAGCAAAAGCTAAGAGAATTCAGCACCACCAAACCAGCTCTACAACAAATGCTAAAGGAACTTCTCTAAGTGGGAAACACAAGAGAAAAAAAGGACATACAAAAACAAACCCAAAACAATTAAGAAAATAGGAATATACATATTGATAATTACCTTAAATGTGAATGGATTAAATACTCCAACCAAAAGACACAGGCTCACTGAATGGATAGAAGAACAAGATCCATATATATGCTGTCTACAAAAGACTCACATCAGACCTAGGGACACATTCAGACTGA